ATTCTATTGTGAATCGATATAGAGTTCCTGCTATCTAACATTATTAGATAGTAATCAAGTGTATAGCTCATTTATATAACTGATGAAAAAATTATGTTAATCAAAATAATAATAAAAAATACCTTTACAAATATAATTTGTTGTAAAATTATCATTCAATTTACTCCTTTAATTAAAATGCTATTTATTTCAGTTTTATTTTTAACGCATCTACAGCTCAAACATCTCAAGACACAAAAAAAAATTAAAAATACTACTATACAAGCTAAAAGTTCCCAACTCGGAGAAAGAAAGTAAGATTGGCCAAGAGTAGTAACCATTCCACTATCTTTCTCTTTCACAATCCCGCTGTTTCCGACAATTTTGAAGCCATTGTCGTAACTCATTAACTAAAAGTTAGATATTAGGAACTCTAGATCAATGGTTTGTACAGGTTAAGGCTTTACAATTTCACCATCGAAGGCATAAAGGGGGCAATGAGGTAAGCATAGCACATCGACCGCCTTTATTTCCAGATATGTTCATACCCATTGATCTGAAGTTGGGTGGGCTTTAAAATATCGCCTATCGAACCCTAGTCTTTCACAATGTGCGAAAGACTGGGTCTGAGAAAGACAGTCTTTCACTTAGTGTCTTAACCACTAAGCTATAAGGGCTCATTAGTTTATTTACTGCTCGTTAAAGTTCTTTCTTCTTATACTTTTTTAAGTTAATTTTATTATTAAAGTCGTTCAAGAACAATAATGTGCAATTGGAAATGGACTGGGCTTCGTGCTCAATGATGATCAAAGCACAATACTGGTGCATATTGCACAACTAAATTTACATCGCAATGTGAGACGCTAGCATCCACATGACTCTCCCCAACCACCCAACCATGAGCAGATTTTTCTGGCTCAGAAACCACAATTCATTAAAAGTACATCCATTTTGAATCACAAATAGGCCTAAGACACCATTGTAAGAAAGTGTCATTCGATCATACAGGCAAACCGAGGAAAGTAAAAACACTACCTACAATATCGATTATACGATTACTTTTTTGGTAGGCAATTTACAAAAAAATAATAATAACCATAATAAACAATTAAAATAAATATGTTGTTGTTCTTGTTGCACATGAATTTGTTCTTTACTTGTCTGCGTGAATTTGTTCTATTCTTGCGATTCCTTCTTTGTCCATTCTATACAGATAAATCCCGATGCTGTCTGAACTATAATATCTGACGTTTTTCAGAACCAGAGACCATCCTTTCAACCTCTAACATATCAGAGATCGGTACGTAATGGTCTGGTCCGGAGTAATGTTTAACACACTCACAAATCTGCATATCTTTGAGGAAAGCTCTCTAAATTTTTAAGGGTATAGGGCTGTAGTCTCAAAACCCTATGTCGCTACACTTTAAAGGGATCTCCGTCGTAAACCTTGAAACCGAAGCTATTTAAGGGATGGAGTGACCAGTCAGAGCTCCTGATCGGAATCCATTTGAGCATATCTGAGATGTTCTTGGTCAAACAATAGCAGCTCATTAGCCTCTTCGCATAAGCCTCCTCGGGTTAAAAATGAACTAAATGGAAGGCAGGGATAGATTGTGCATAAACCTTTGATTTACTTCCGCAAAAAAATTTTTAAATTATTATAGAGTGACCAATCAAGGCCCCGGATTTGAAGCCCATTGAGCATATCTGGAATGTTCTTGGTCGAGAAACTGCAGCTCACTAGCCTCTTATCATAAACCTTCTAGGACTAAAAACTGCTTAATTGGAGGGCAGCGATTGATTGTCCGTAGACTTTGATTTACTATCTTATAAATTTCTTCAACTTCGTAAACAGCACGAGTTTCAGCAACAGTGTTCATTGTGAAACACATATTGCCGTCTGATTATCATACCCAATATTATACCCTTTATAAGTGCTATTTTACTAGATAATTTTTGAACTATTTTGCTGTGATACCCACTAATCGTGATCCTAAGATTTTGCCGTCATCTTTTGGTTAACGTTTTTGTCATAATTTCAGATGTTTTCGCAGAAAATTTTACTTGTTTCGTTCCAGAGCTCTACAAAAAAATTCTGGAAATGCTCCTAAGATTTCAGCATTTTTGAAAACTACTATAAAAATTATTTATCTAAAGAAATTGCAATGTAAAAAATAATATTTATATTTATTTATAATTTTTCGTTATTCCGTTGGTAATGGTAGGAAAAAATTTTAATAAGGTACACAAAATACTTGCAAAATCCAAAATTGTAAGAGAATCGTTTGAATAGGTATTTCGAATCGCAAATTTAAAAATACGACTTACTATAAATTTTATTACTCAGAAACTGTTCGGCCGATTTCGCTCAAATTTAATTCTTCGCGATTTAAAGGCTTTTAAAATGAAATAAAAATTTTTATACCTAAATATTCAAAAAAAAATTTTACTGTTATTAAGTAAAATAATTAAAAATTAGTAAAGTGTTTTTTTTTAAATTATGTTTCGCATAATAGTCCCAAAGATGTGGTGAAATACGCAGAGTGAAATAAACTTAAGGGTCCACACTTTTTACATCTTTTCTGCCTTAAATATTGGGACCACAGCTTTCAAATTTGTGGCTACTCCCCATATAAAGATCAAAAATCTAAATCCGTCGGAAAAAAGGTATGTTAGTTCAGAGAAAATCCGTTTTTATTTATAATTTTGTAGCTGGTTTGTTAGCAGATTGTTGACCTCTCAAATTGTATCTTAGTACAGGAAAATCAGTTAATAAAATTAAAAAAAAGGGACTACAGTGTTCCGTTTTTTATCATGAGCGTATTTTAGTTTTATTCTATTCTAAATTTAAAGAGGCTACTTATAGAAAATTTTTGCCGTATCAAAAAAAATTAATGACATTTGACCCCACGAATTAAAATTAAGGGATGAAATTAGATATGAATCAAAAAGAAAGAAAAATTACTTCAAATCTTAGAAGAGTGACTAAAACTAACTGAGTGAAACTAAAGTTATATGACTGCATCCGTAAAAAAGTGGGGCTATTTATCTATATTATAAATATTTTATTTTAATTATAGAAAATAAAAAGGAAATATTTCTCTCTCTGATTATCAATAATTTATTTAATATTAAATATTAATTAAGCCGAAAACTATTAATAGGTCAAGCAATAGGTGTATAAGTATATTCTTAAATGAAATTTTGTAATACTTCTTTAAAATGAAGAGCCAAATAACGAAACTAAAATTTGTTATTTTAGTTTAAATATTTTTATTAATTTATTTTAACTCACTAAAAATTTGGCAGGTGCACAAGGACCCCCGAATTGACTTAAGGGCATGTAGCAATGTTAATATTTGTCTTAAAATAAAATAAAACATTTTGTTTTTAACAAAAAATTATAAATTAAGAATAATATTAATATTAGAAGTTAAACAAAAGTAGAATTGTATATCCGAGCATGTTAATGAAACAAGTTACTAATGAAATCAATAATTTTGGAATATTTAAATATGAGACATCACTAATATGGAAGAGAGATTTGAGTTAAGAATTGCGCAGTAACAAGTTAAAGAATTGTAAGTACAATAAGTATATTATTTAAAGGATACTAATTTTAAACTAATTATAATGCAAACAACTTCACATTTCAATAGCTGTGTATTTATAACTAATATATTTTCAGTTAATGTACTTATAATTTATTCACTCTTATAACTAATTCTATAATTAACTTGCACTTATAATTAAGTCTGTAATTAACTTGAGCTTATGTACCCTTTTTTCACTAATTAACTTAAATAAATATTTTTTAACAATAACGAGAATCTTCAGTTACGAGTTTTCAGAATTAAAATTTATACATCCATTTCAGAAAAAAATTCAAGAATAATTCTAAATAATTATTTTGAAACTAAGTTTTTATTTCTGTAAAAATTCTAAATTATTTTAAATACTAACTCAACGTATAACTCACAATTGAACACTAATTAAATTATTACTTAAGACAACTAATTTTTTCTTACAAGCAACTAATCTTCGATCTACAGACACACACACGCGCGCACGCACACACACACACACACACACNTAATAAATTATTTTTCTCGAAAATAGCTGACAAAAAAACTTTTAAATTTAATAACATCAAAACTAATTCGAAGTTTAGATAAATAGCCAATATATATGTATATATATATATATATATATATATATTGTTTTTTAATAGTCAAATTAATCAAAAGAAGTGAGTGCCAGTGCATGGCTTACCCTTCATGTGACCACTTTGTCAGCTGCGAAGGCACTGAAGGTGTGTAGTATAGGGGTACTCGTTAAACTGTTCAAAGTGTTTGACTTCACTCGTAGATCGTCCGGCTACCAAAGCGATGGACCAAAATTCTAATGGCATGTTTTCGGATCATCTTCAGGGATGTTTCCCAGAATATCGCTGTTGTTGTTGTTGTTCATTTACGTCGCACTAGAGCTGAACAATGGGCTATTGGCGACGGTCGGGGAAGCATCCTTGAGGATGATCCGAAGACATGCCATCACAATTCTGATCCTCTGCAGAGGGGATGGCAGCCCTGCTTCAGCAGCCTGATGACCTGCACGTGAAGTCGAGCATTTTACGGTAGAACAGTTTAACGAGGACCAATACCGCACACCCTCTGTCCCTACGCTGACTGATCCAAGTGGTCACCCACCCGCACACTGACCACAGCCAGTGATGCTTGACTTCGATGATCTGCCGGGAACCGTGTCTTAACGATCAGTCCACTGCGGGACGAAACCAGCAACAATAACAGCTACTAGATTATATCTCCGTTTTTATCATATAATACCTATACGCATAATAATACCTATATACTATTTAAAGTATTAAAACGTGTTAATCCTTTCTATCGATCAAAAGGGTTGCAACTTTGAAACGGTACAAAGTAGAACCACATATAGAGCCATCCACAAATGATGTAACCGTGAATTCTGAAATTCATGGGGATTTCTCTGTCAATGAAATTCCCTTTTCGAAGTTTGCCTGACTACTTTTCCCTCTCTTCAACGTCTTGTTTATGTTTTGTTGCGTTCAATCTTTAACTGCAACTGTATTATGTTTTGGGTGTTGTCATATTTTTGCCGAATAGAATTTATTTACAAATAATTTTGAAGTACTTATATTCTGTTTTCACCTAGCATTAACGATGAGTACTGAAGGAAAACTGGTAAAAATTGTGTTTTACTCACTTCATTCTATATTCTTAATAATTTAAAATGCGAAGTTTTAAAATATTGATAAAGATAAAAAAAAAAGTCTTCTCAATAAAATATTTCATTTGACGTAATTTTTCTTTTTTTGTGTGTTCAACACTTTTACATATTTATATTCTATTATAGTTTAATAACCCTGAAACTCCTGGATATGTTGGATTCGCCAATTTGCCTAATCAAGTTCATAGGAAATCCGTGAAGAAAGGATTCGAATTCACTCTCATGGTTGTTGGTATGTTTTCATATAACTTATTAACCTAGCTAGGTAATTTTTTATTAACTGTCAGTTTTACAGATTCAATCCAATACCAATAATCAAACTGTCATTTCAAAAATCCGAAAAATTGCTTTTAATGATTGGTTTAAGCATTATTATTGATATTTTAATAGTACATGTCATATTGTGTTATAGGTCAAATACCAATTTTTATATATTGCTTTTTTGGGAATGGAAAAATAATCTTATAATACAGTTGAAAGTTCAAATTCTATAAAAATAAATTTTGTTTATATTCCGATGACATTTATCTTTTGTATTTATCCAGAAGCAGATTATACCTCTCTACTGTTTTGTAGCAAGACTTTTTAATCACATACGTAATAAATAACAACTCTCACTAGCTAACTTGGGAATATTTCCGTATTGTGATCTCTCTCGCCAACTAAAATCTCCAAGGTGCCAAATAGATCCAAAATCCTAATCGATCACCTTGATTATTTAAATATAATTCTTCTTGTTTTAACAATATTTGTTTTGTCCACCAGTAGATCATTTATAAATTAGAGATATGCTTTTTGCAAAAATGTACCCAAAAATATGTGTGTTCTTAGTTTTTAAGGATCTGTAGATTCTAAAGCCTAGCAGAATCACTGCTCATCATATTCTGTGGTATCTAAAAATAAACAGTATGTACCTACTTTTAAAACTTAGTAATCACTCTGTGTAGCTAGGTACTATACTTCTCCTCACTTTATTTATATATTTAATAAAATTAAATTAAAAATCTTAACTGTCTTTACTTTATTTCATAAATGCAAAATTATACTTCTTTGTCTATTATGTGCTTATTTCTAAAAAAATTAGTCCTGGGTAGCTTCATTTTTAAAATTTTGTAGACTCTGCAGACGAATAAAACAAAATAATTCTTATTGGTCTCTAAAATATTTTTATGTCATGTCAATGATAAAACAAGGATATTGGATCAAGGATTGTCAAATCAAGGTCATTTTTTAGTAAATAAAGAAAATATTAAATTTTAATTTGCACTGTCTAGCTTGGACATTCTAAAAACATTGTATCTTTATTGTAAACAATGAAATTTTTCCTAATGATGTTGCGTTAACGGAAAATACCAGCCGCAGTAAAAAGTTTCATATCTTAAGCTTTATTCTTTCTTTTTTTTATTTTATCTTGTTTTCTATGCATTTATTATTACTTTTATTATATAATTGTTTTTACTTATAAATTTAGTCTAATTTAATGTAATAATTCTACATAATGTTTGTAGGAGAGTCTGGCCTTGGGAAATCCACATTGATTAATAGTCTATTCCTGACTGACTTGTATCCTGAAAGACATATTCCTGATGCATCAGGTTATTATATGCATATAATAATAATTTTATTCATGCATTGTAGCTAGATTTATTTTTATAATTGAGTTTACTTATGTTTATGTATTTTACAATTTTGTTTTATGTGATTGTTATATTTTTATCCATTATTTTTTCTGATTTGCAATTTTTTCCTTTTTAATTCACATGTATGTTACTAACATTTGTGTTGTTCCTAATCATTCACATAATACCACCTCAGCTATATCAAAAACATGAGTCCAAAATGCTCTGGCAAAGTTGCACACCAAAATTGGTTGCAAAAGAATGTCCGTCAAGAAAAATTCCAGACTATCACGGAAGTGTTCAAATTGCACTTACGCGGGTTTCAATTTGCACTTACCGCATGTTAGGGACGATAATGAAGCTTTTTAAATGGACCGTTATGAATCCTAAAACTATCGTTTGATCCGATTTATCTCCCTTGAACTGTAAAACACCTCCAGGGTATTTTCTACCAAAGCACTGTAGGCTTAAAACTCATGGAGAAGGTGAGAAGCATCTTCTTTAGTCTAGAAGACCCAGAGCACCTGAAACAAAAGGTCTGACCTGGCTCCTTTGCCTGCAAGATTTTGCTGGGTATAAGGGAATGACCTTCACACCTTGGGTTGCCCTACCAGAAAACTAACCTTCCAACGTGCATCCCCCATTCCACCTAGTGAAACCCCTTTGTCACGGTGAGGTATCATGCAGAACTTAAGGGGACTAACATTTGTAAAAGATTTCAAAAATGTGAAATTTTCAAGATCTTAAAAATGTGAGTAAAGTGAAATGTTAAAACTAAAATGTATAATAAATATAGCAGTTCTGTAACAGCCAATTTGGGGGCTGTACAGTCATAAGGCTTAGACTCTACAACAGGGGTTTCCAACTTACATGAGGCCGGGGGCCGCAACTAAAAACTCTAGTCAAATGATGGGCTGCAACTTTATCAAAATTTTATTTAGGACTATTTTATGCTTGAAGAAGCATTAAATATTGCTTTCAGACTTTTATCAAGTTGTACAAAACAAAAGTATTGAATTACAAATTAAAATAAGAAGTAGATTTTTAGCTGAGAAATAAATTTTTTTGCTCTGTTGGTATGTTAAATTTCACAGAAACGAATAAATTGGGGTTTTTTAACGAAAGAAAAGTATTTTAAACCCATATAGATTTTTTACGAAAATTGTCTGCAAAAAAAGGACAACAAATACATTTTAGTTTGCAGGCCGCCAGTTGGTAACCACTGCTCTACAATTTTAATGGCAGTATAGTTATATGCTTTGGCCACCTTTACTCTAAGAAAAGCTTTTATCCATTAATCTAAAGCTGGGTAAGCTCGAAACTGTCACAGAGGAGGTAATAAGTAACTAGCTATAAGTATATCAAATATGAGACATTTTTAAAAATTATGTCTAAAGAATATGGTTAATTGGTAAATCTGATACTCATCAAACCTGTAAGTTGTTTTAATTTTCTTTTTTGCTATCTTAGTGACTAAAACTTCATAATCTGCTCTACTCAATTGCTTGTCACTAAAAATGTTTTTGGGTGTTAATGTTTTTCGATATCCATTTTGGGACTACTCTCCTAATGGAGATAGGGAAAAAATAACAAGTTATTTTTGATGCCAATAATTGCAATATTATGTGTTTTCTATGTATGCTAATTTTGATATTTCTTTTTTCCTTCAATGTAGAAAAAATCAAACAAACTGTGAAACTTGAGGCATCAACTGTTGAAATTGAAGAACGGGGTGTAAAATTGCGACTTACTGTTGTTGACACACCAGGTTTTGGAGATGCCATTAATAATAATGATAGGTTAGTATTCCTTTATTTGTATTGATGTATAACTTTGTTTTTTTATCATTATTTAAATTTGTATTGTTTGATTTTTCAGTTTGAAGTTTAATCCTTCCTTCAAAATTTTAAAATTAAGATTTATAATAGTTGAATGCTCATGTATATGTGCTTAATGATAGTTGGAAAACAGTAAAAATAATTAGATTTGCATTTAAACTGTGTTGTATCAAATATTAATAGTATTTTTTTTTTTCAATTTAATAATAAAGTTGATCTAATTTAACTTACAAAATTGAATTTTGTTTTAATGTTAAGAGTTTAAAATGTTATTTGTGTTGAGTTATTTGATTAATCGAAATGATGCCCTTGCTAAAGTTTTTGAGTGATAATAAACTAATAAATTCTCTTGGTAAATTTTGTGTCACAACCTTGCAGTAAATTTCAAACATGATTTCCAAATTTTTTTTTACTATGTGCCTCAAATTGCAGGATTTGCAAATAATATATAAACAAGAATTACACATATCAATAGAATGGGCTATTAATGCTGATACCAAGAGTTGAACAAATGTGCTGTTTACATGAATAGATAGCTAGTATAAGCAAATAAAATTTTCATAATGTCTAATTTCATATTCTTATCTTCATTGAAACAGAAAGGCTTTGTTTTTCTTAAAAAGTATTTAAAGTTGTGATAAGTGTAACATGTTTGTTTTCTGTAAAATTTATTTATCAAACAATATTAATTGAAAATAGAAATGTCTCATTTTAAAAGCTATCTGTATCCATTAAATCAGCTTTTTATAGAGAAAATTTGTTTTTATTCTATTTTTCATTCTCTAAATATATATATAAAGAGAAAATCAATAATTATAGTTTTGTGTTTTAAGCTAACTTGCTGAGCAAATTTTTTTTTTTTTATTTCAAAAACTGTACTAACTACATCCCTCAGAGGGTTTAACTTGCTTTAGTTCCCTTGATCCTTGATGTACCATTTTTTTCCCCATCAAACTTAGTTTATAACACTAAATAATGTTGAAAATATTGTTGTAGTTTTATGATGTTTAGCCAACACTGGCTCATGTCACGAAACTCTTGTTCAATTCTTCTGCGGAAAATAATTTTATTTTATAAGCCTAATGCAACAAATACATTGCATATTTTGAGTACGTAGTTTTGTTTTCATTTTATGAATGTTTAATTCTAGCATGTGCCATCCAACTCTGTTTAAACCAATCCTGAATTATCTGCATAAGAATTAACTTCCTCTGGAAATAATTTGAGCCTTAAATTCCAGAGTAGCTAAGTTGTTCTATATTTTATTCTATCAGTGTACTAAAACTATTTTTTTTAATTCAACAGAATAATTCAGCGTAAGTAATAAATTAAATAAACTTTAAAACTTAAAGTATTTTCTTAGGATTAGGCGAAAGAATGTATACCAAGTCAGCAATTCCAAATCGGCTGCCCTTGCTTGAAATGATATTCTCGTAGAGAGACTAAAATGTTACAGTTTAAAAAAATATTAAATTTTTAAGACTGCTTGCTACACGAAATGTTCTGAATAACANTTATTTCCAAATATTATTTTTTAGTTAGGTTTAACAATAAAAAAACGGCTTTTTGTAGCGATTCAGAAAACCGGACAAATCAGTTATCCGGAATAGCGATGGTCCCAGTCGTTCCGGATGATCGGTTCCCTACTGTACTTCTAATTGTACATGTCATCTTGTGTTATAGGTCAAATATCAAATGCCAATTTTTATATATTACTTTTTTGGTAATGGAAAAATAATCTTATAATGCAGTTGAGAGTTCAAATTATATAAAATAAAAATTTTGTTTATATTCCGATGACATTTATCTTATTTAATTGTCCAGAAGCAGATTATACCTATCTACTGTTTTGTAAATAGACTTTTTAATCACATATGTAATAAATAACAACTCTCACAGCTAAATTGGGAATATTTCCGTATTATGATCTGTCACGCCAACTAAAATCTCCAAGGTGCCAAATATCTCCAAAATCCTAATTGATCACCTTGATTGTTCAAATATAATTCTTCTTGTTTTAACAATATTTGTTTTGTCCATCAATAGATCAATTATGAATTCGAGATACGCTTTGTGTAAAAATGTGCCCAAAAATATGTAGTATGTTCTTAGCTTTTAAGGATCTGTAGATTCTAAAGCCTAGCAGAATCATTGCTCATCATATTCTGGTGTATCTAAAAATAAACAGTATATACCTACTTATAAAACTTAGTAATCACTCTGCGCAGCTATACTATACTTCTCCACACTTTATTTATATATTAGATAATATTAAATTAAGAATCTTAATTGTTTTTACTTTATTTCATAAATACAAAAATTATGCTTCTTTGTCATTTATTATATGCTGATTTCTAAAAAATAAAACTTGGGTAGCTTCATTTTTTAAATTTTGTAGTCTCTAGAATAAAATGAGACAAAATAATAATTGTCCCTAAAATATTTTGCTATCAAATTATTCTCTTCATAAAATAACACTGCAAAAAATAATTTACTTTCCATTTCATTATAAGCTGGCTGAAATTAATTTTCAAATTTTGTAGACTCTGCAGACAAATAAAACAAAATAATTCTTATTGGTCTCTAAAAAATGTTTTTGTCAAGTCAATGATAAAACAAGGATATTGGATCAAGGATTGTTAAATCTAGGTCATTTTTCTAGCAAATAAAGAAAAGATTAAATTTCAATTTGTACTGTCTAGCTTGGACAGTATAAAAATAGCATATCTTAAGGGCAAACAATTAAATTTTTCCTAATGATTGCTGTATTTACAAGCAGCAGTAAAAATTTTCATATCTTGAGCTTTATTCTTTTATATAATTTTATTTTGTTTTCTATGTATTTACTAATACTTTCATAATATAAATGCTTTTACTTATAAATTTAGTCTAATCCATGCATATTGTTTACAGGAGAGTCTGGCCTTGGCAAATCAACATTGATTAATAGTCTATTCCTGACTGACTTGTATCCTGAAAGACATATTCCTGATGCATCAGGTTATTATATGCATATGATAATAATTTTATACATGCAGTGTAGCTAGATTTATTTTTATAATTAATTTAGTTTATTAATGTTGTCTGTGTATTTTACAATTTTGTTTTAGGTGATTGTTTATATTTTTATTCTTTGATTGTTTGTTTTTTCCCCCTATTTGCATTCTTTTCCTTTTTAATTCACGTGTATGTTACTAACATTTGTGTTGTTCCTAATCATCCACATAATATCGCCTTAGCTATATCAAATACATGAGTCCAAAACCATGGTGCATAGCATCTTTAAAAAGTGCTTTAAGGTGCTTATTTTCGGTTTTTAAAAGCCCTTAAAGGTGCTTTTTTCATGGGGTGTTTTTAAAAAGTGCTTAATTTTCCCTTTTCGAAAAGGGAATGTTGATTTTCTCCGTGCATTATGTAAAATTGTGCTTTTCACATTGTTCTATTCAACATTTTCACAATTCATTTAACCACAATCTATTTCGGTGTACAGTTGATCGTTAGCGTGTGAAAGCACCGATCATTTTACATGTTAGATGAAATACCTAAAAGTCCGCACGTGCATCTACTAAGCTGAGTTCGGTGAGATTATTGCACTCTCATGTAGTCCTCTTTTGCATTTTGCGAGATATTCTCAATTTTGACTTCATTTTCACCCTCTAATATTGGACCAAAAAATCTCTTGATCATTTTATAATGCCTAATATAATCAAAAACTAGTTATTTTATCATGATCATGTAAAGTCTTTGAAAATTATTTTGTTAATATCTATAGTACTTAAAAATATTTTTCAGTGCTTAAAAGGTGCTTATTTTTTGTTGAAAGTTTTGGCTACGCACCATGAAAAGTCTGGCAAAGTCGCGAACCGAAATTGATCGCAAGAGAATGTCATTCAAGAAAAATTCCAGACTATCACAAATGTGTTCAGGGCGAGCAGGTTTCAATTTCCACTGACCACATGTTGTGAAGACTTTGTCCCCAAATTCGATAGTGAAGCTTTTTAAATGGCCACTGATGAATCATGAAAGTTCTTCGTACATTGGAAATTTCGCCAAAGCTGCATATTTTTTCTTGAAAACAATGTTTTCTATTTATGCTAATTATTTTAATATTTCTTTTTTCCTTCAATGTAGAAAAAATCAAACAAACTGTGAAACTTGAAGCATCAACTGTTGAAATTGAAGAACGGGGTGTAAAATTGCGACTTACTGTTGTTGACACACCAGGTTTTGGAGATGCCATTAATAATAATGATAGGTTAGTATTCCTTTATTTATATTGATGTATAACTTGGTTTTTTATCATTATTTAAATTTGTATTGTTTGATTTTTCAGTTGTTTGAAGTTATAATCTTTCCTTCAAAATTTTAAAATTAAGATTTATAATAGCTAAATGCTCATGTATCTGTGCTTAATGATAGTTGGAAAATAGTAAAAATAATTAAATTAGCATTCAAACTGTCTTGTATCAAATTTTAAACTTAATAATATATTAAGTTGATCTAATTTAACTTACAAAATTGAATTTTGTTATAGTGTTTAGAGTTTAAAATGTTATTTGTGTTGAGTTATTTGATTAATTGAAATGATACCCTTTCGAAATGATGTTTTTGAGTGATAATAATAAGTAAAGTAAATCCTCTTGGTAAATTTTGTATCACAGCCTTGCAGTAAATTTCAAACATCAGTTCCAAATGTTTTCGTACTACATGCCTCAAATTGCAGGATTCGCAGATAATATATAAAGAAGAATTACGCATGTCAATAGAATGGGATATTAATGCTGTTACCAAGAGTTGAGCAAATATGCTGTTTACATAAATAGAATACTATATACCCTAGCTAGCATAAGCGAGTAAAATTTTCATAAAGAGTTAAATTGTATAAAAAAAAGGATGATCACTGAAAAACATAATGTAACCAAGTGTTGAAAAAACAAACAGACAAAACATCAATTTTTAATTAAAATTTTTTATTGGGTTCTAAAACTTTTGCTACATTACAATTAAATCAGTCATGTGGTTTATATCACTACTTTTCAAAGACAATCATTCATGATTTCAAGACCATAGACATTGACAAAAGTATGCTTTAAAGAAAATTATTTGATTTTCAGTAAATTAGGTCATTATTAGACCATTCTTATTATAATTTATTACCTATTTATGATTTATTCATACTAATTTGAATTAAGTTAGAATTGTGAAGAAAAGAATTAGATCTTTAAAACTGAAACAAGGCTTCACTCTCGCCAGTAAAGCAAATGTTTTTTAAGTGCCAACTTCAGTGGAGACCCTGCTGAATTCTTATCATATTTCAAAATATATTGCTCATACACTGCTTGGGGTTTAACATTCTATTCCGGAAAGAAAATTCTGTTAGTGCCGTATCCCCCCCCCCCTTGACTGACTTAGCAAATGACAATATCTACGTCTTACCACACCTTTAATTGTTATACCTATACAAAATTTAATTTGTTAAAAAAATGAAAAAATGTATCAATTTTATTTTATTTGGGAATTTTGCTTGCATAACATTGCACATTTGAGTTGTATTTTGTTGAAATGAAGATTATTAAATTTTGGTTTTTATAATGTCTAATTTCATATTTTTATCTTCATTGAAACAGAAAGCTTTGTATTTCTTAAAAAATATTTTAAGTTGTAATAAGTGTAACATATTTGTTTTCTATAAAATTTATTTATCAGATAATATTAATTGAAAATGGAAATGTCTCATTTTAATTTCCAGAAACAATCAAAGCTATCTGTATCCATAAAATCAGCTTTTTGTTGAGGAATTTTTTTTTACTCTATTTTTCATTCTCTAAATATGTATAAAGAAAATCAATAATTAAAGTTTTGTGTTTTAAGCTAACTTGCTAAGCCAATTTTTTTTTCTTTCAAAAACTGGACCAACTACATCCCTCAGAGGGTTTAACTTCCTGTAGTTCCATTGATCCTTGATGCACCATTTTTTTTCCATCAAACTTAGTTTATAACACTATATAATTTTTAAAATATTGTTTCAGTTTTATGAAGTTCAGTCAACACTGGCTCATGTCACTAATCTCTAGTTCAATTCTTCCAGGGAAAATAATTTTATTCTATAAGCCTAATGCAACAAATACGTTGCATATTTTGAGTACATAGTTTTGTTTTCATTTTATGAATGTTTAATTCTAGCTTGTGCCATCCAACTCTGTTTAAACCGATCCTGAATTATCTGCATAAGAATTAACTTCCTCAGGAAATAATTTGAGCTTTAAATGCTAGTGTAGCAAAGATGTTCTACATTTTATTCTATCGGTGTACTAAAATTTTAAATCTATGACTATTTTTTTTTAATTCAGCTGAATAATTCAGAATAAGTAATAAAATAAATAAACTTGAAAACTTAAAGTATTTACTTGGTATTCAAAAAAAGAATGTATGCCAAGTCAGCAATTCCAAATCGGCTGCCCTTGCTTGAAATGATATTCTCATAGAAAGACTGTAAAATGTTTCAGTTTTAAAAAATATTAAATTTTTAAGACTGCTTGCTAAACTAAATGTTCTGAATAACAATTGGTGTATAAGGCAAATATTTAGAAGCAAGTAAGCAGATAATTAGAGTTTAAAGAGTTGATCAAAAATGTTTGAATGTTAATGAATTCAGTTATTTTAACTTAAATAATATTTTTAATAAATTTGAAAAGAGTTAAAGGAATGTAAATTTTCACAGTTTTAAAAGTGTACTGTTTATTATATAAATTTTACTCATTAGTTATTTGCATATTAGAATTTTATTTTCGTATTTTTTTTGTGATTAATATTATTTTTTTAATGTATATTGTCTTGCATTTTTCTAGTTTTAAATCTATAATTCAGTATATTGATGATCAATTTGAGCGGTTTCTTCGAGATGAAAGTGGTTTAAACAGACGAAATATCAATGATAGCCGTGTTCATTGCTGCTTCTACTTCATCTCTCCTTATGGTCATGGTCTGAAGCCCCTAGATATTGAATTCATGAAACAGCTTCATGGGAAAGTAAACATAGTGCCAGTCATTGCAAAGGCTGATGCTTTGACGAAGAAAGAAGTTATGCAGTTGAAAAAAAGAGTAAGTTAGAGCATTATAGTCAGGGATAGAATTCGTGTATATTTAAATTGCATTTGCATATTTTTTGCTTATGTATTTGTTCTTTTAAAGATAATGCAAGAAATTGATGAAAATGGAATCCGCATTTATCCTCTTCCAGATTGTGATTCTGATGAAGATGAAGATTATAAGGAACAAGTAAAGCAGCTGAAGGTAAACATTTTTTTCGGAAAGTATTTTTATTATAGGAAAGAAAAAATTATGTTAATTTTTGAAACATCGGGAACTGGGGTTATTAGTTTAGGAGAATGCATAGACATATTCTTACAAGAAACATAATTTGAAGAACTTATGTGAAGTAACAATTGTGCAATAAGAATATATGTACTATTTTATTTTTAAATTTCAATTGGTGCTAGTATGAAGAAAAAGCATTTTAAGATTTAGGAATTCTTTAGAGACTCCAAACCCACTGTATACCTAATGATGTCTATAGTTTTAGATAAATCTGGGTTCTTGAAATTCTTTCTCAAGTTAGCTTTTTTGATTATATGTATCTATATGTTTGTATGTAAATAGATATATCTATATATTACATATAAATATTGGATGGTATTACAACATAACCCAACTTTTGACAAATGCCCTCTTTTACGCTTTTAAAAATGTTTAAAAACTAATCCAACTAATTCCATAGATTAAAAGTAGGCGTTGGCAATTGGAATTTTCGGTGAGGTTTACAGGGTTCGTAGTTGTTCTGATATTCCTGATTTTTTTAATGATTTATTTATTTTTATGAATTTGTTTGAATTTTGACAAGCGTGTGATTTTAAGAGAATCACTTTGGTTTTTTAAAGATTTCTTTTACTAAAAAATATGAAAAACTAGATTCAAAAAGGGAAATCCAAAATGTATTTCAAATGAAAAATCGTGCCTTTTTTTTATATATTCCACTTTTCCTCTGAAAAACAAATTATTGCTGAATCAGTACTGAAACAAAAGTTTTCATAAGAAACCCCACCATTTTTACTAAATTTTTTCCTACTTTTGTCATTTTACACTTCTTTTAGAATCCAGTAACAGGCATTTGACCTCATGGCTCTGACAGCAGGTGTCTCACGCATAGGCAAATTATGAGAAGCAAAATTTTAAAGAAATAAAACATTTCTTCAATAAAAAAGAATCCATTCTGATCTCTAAAATATACCTAAAATCCAAGTTCCTGTTGTGGCTTCTGTTTTAAAGAATATTATTGGTTTATTTATTTGATTGTAAGTTTGTCTGTTATAAGTTAGTTATTATCTAGTACTAAAAATGATCTGTGATTCTTGTAATTGTATAAAAAGCTCAACATTTTGGTTTAATTTGCAGGTGTTTTCTTACGTTTTTTCGGCAATTTTTTTTTATTTTAATATTTGTTTCCAGATTATGACGAATTATATTTATTTACCCTTTGTGTATTTTTGTATCCATTTATTTTTTAGACAGGAGATCATATAAAATTTTATTGAAAGTAATATATTGTTGTATGAAATTAACCATAATTATCAGTTAGTTTCTTATAAATTTATTTCGATTTATCTTTATATTGAGAAATCTATTTTTCTTTATTCCACTCAATTAAGATGAAAAAGTATTGCACTATTTATAAATACTGGTTGTGTTTGTGTACAAACTGTAATAAATATTGTAAAACTGCCAGATTATCTAATGAAGTTTTTTTTTTCTGTAGGAAGCTGTACCATTTGCAGTGTCTGCAGCTTTATCTACCATTGAAGTTAAAGGTCGTAAAGTTCGTGGCCGCCTTTATCCTTGGGGTGTGGTTGAAATTGAAAATCCTGACCACTGTGATTTCATCAAGTTACGCACAATGCTTGTGTGAGTATATGACATTTTCTAAAAGCTCTGTATCAGGGCTCAATCATTATTTTGATTGCTTGACATATCTGGTTTATTTTACTTTTTTGAACTAAAAAGATGTATTGGTTTTTTTAATAAAATCAAGTTTGAAAGCTTAAATATTGAGTAGCAAAAAATAATTAACATTACGTTTAAGATTTGATGATCTAAACAGCATAAAAAATAGAATTATAGTGTATGTGAGTTATACTTCTAATTATAACGAATTGACTGTAATTTATTTACAATGTAGATTTGAAGCATGTAATTTTTTTTTTTTTAAATAAAAAATGTTTTTAAAAAATTGATGAAATGGTTTCAACATTAATTAATGTTATCAAGAGAGCTAAAGCCCTGCAACTTCTCAGTGAACTTATTATTAATAAGATTGATGATTCACAAATTGATTTTTGATTTCACAAATTGATTTCACAAATTGATGATTCAGAACTATGGCTGAAAGAACCTGGACTCTATGCTAATTTTAGATTCACAAAAATAATAGTGGATTTTTTTGAATTTCATGGCAACAGGACATTTTACAAAAAATCTGGGTTGATCTCTAATCTTAGTATTGTGTTTAATGTTTTGCTTTATGATGGCAATTGAATGGTGCTGTGGCTGTCTTTTAAAATTTTTAGTTCTATTTGCCTTTTTATGTTTGGGATATTTTTTTCCCCTTTTTAGAACTCATATGCAAGATTTACAAGAAGTCACTCAAGATCTCCATTATGAAAACTACCGATCTGAAAGGCTAGCTGGAAAAACAACTGCTAAAAAACCTGCGTAAGTTTTTAATTTTAAATTTGATTCAATAAATAATTTCATTCTAAGGTTTTACATTTTAAAAAAAAAAAACTTTTTTGTTCTTCTCTTCTATTATGTGCTAAAATTCTGATGTACTGAAATTATGAAACTCAGGTTTTAATTTTAGCATGTTTGGTTACAATACTATCCGTACAATATTGGTTGCGAAATGATATGGCGCAATGTGAGAGTATTTTAATGGTCTGTTATTGCCATTTATGATACTTCTATTGCTTTGTTAATGAAGAATCCCTTTAAATAAATATAACAATCTTAGTAATAATTTAACAAATATTTTAACATTTATTAATGCAATAGCCCTATATTATATTGTGTGCTGCTTTCTCACAGCTGTGATTAATGACGATTTTTATTTCTAACCAATTAATTGTAATACAAACAAAGCACTTTGACAAATGAAGTAATTGATTTGAAGACTAAGCAATATTAATAAGAAATTTTCTTGAAATACCTAAAAAGTCGCAGAAAAAAAAATTTATGAATTTAAGTAGTTTAAATTCTGTGAGACTTCTCTGGGTGCTTAGCGCTTTTAAAAAGTGCTTAAAGGTGCTTATTTTTGTTTTTTAAAAGCCCTTAAAGGTGCTTTTTTCATTGGGTGTTTTTAAAAAGTGCTTAATTTTCCCTTTTTCTGAATGAGATTTTTCCTTTACCATGTTGATTTTAGCTGCGAATTATGCAAAAAGACGCAGTTCACATTTTTCTATTCAACGTTTTCACAATTCATTCAACCCCAATCTATTTCACCGTATTGTCAATCCATAGCATATGAAAACGCCATTCGTTTTATATGATTCAAAACTTCATGATTTTTAACAATTGTCAAAAACTTTCCCACCCTGCCCAATTATAATACTTTTTTAAAGTTCTTAAAATTATCTTTTGAGTGCTTAAAAGGTGCTTATTTTTTGTTGAATATTTGACTATGCACCCTGGCACGANACAAATGTCTTAGAATATCTCGCAAAAAGAAATGATCCAATATTAGTTAGAGCTAGTAAGGCCAAACGCTCCGTTCTTGAAGTAAAAGTGCGAGCTTTGCGCCAAAGTGACGTCACTAGAGTGACGTCGGAGGATCGGCGCGGCAAGAGATACTTCAAAGGAGTGAACCAGCCCTTCTATTCTCTTTAGCCCTGATCCGTACTATATTGGTTACGAAATGATATGGCGCAATGTGAGAATATTTTAATAGTCTGTTATTGCAATCTATTTTTCCCACGTATTTATAATACTTCTTATTGCTTTATTAATGAAGAATCCCTTTAAATAAATTTAACAATATTAGTAATAATTTAACAAATATTTTAACATTTATTAATGCAATAGCCCTATATTATATTGTGTGCTGCTTTCTCACAACTTTTATTTCTAACCAATTAATTGTAATACAAACAAAGCACTTCGACAAATGAAGTAATTGATTTGAAGACTCTTAGCAATTTTAATAAAAAATTCTCTTGAAATACCTAAAACGTCACAGAATTTTTTTTTTTTTTCTGAATTTAAGTAGTTTAAATTATGTGAGACTACCGTGATTTCGAAAAGTTTGGGAACCAACTTCAGCAGTTGGGTGTTTACCAGTTTATCTGTATTGTAGAGATTACTTTGTCCTAAATCATTATTTTAAACAAAGACAGGTTAGAAAATGTAGTTAAATAAAATTAGTTTTCAATAGATAGATGATTTTAATTCTGTGCATATACTTATCAATTTTATTTTTATACTCATTTAAAACTAAGTCTTATTTTCATGTGCAGTGTTTCTCAAGAGATATCTGATAAAGATAGAATCTTGCAAGAAAAAGAAGCTGAATTAAAACGGATGCAAGAAATGCTCCAACAGATGCAGCAGAAGATCAAAGAAGAGGAGCAACGAAACTCCACACCATCTCCAACAAATCAATCCCCTCAGCTTTCCCATAAATAACAAGTTCCTTCATTATCAGCTTTGCATTTCTTTGTAAATGAATTGCCACAATTCTGAGTTCTTCTTGTTTATCATTTTAGCTTTTGTAAATTCTGTGGCTAGTCAACTTTTTTATTGATTTGTTTATCTTGCCATTTTTTTGTGTTTGTAATCAAAAAAAATTTCTTTTTGTGAAAAATTTAAAAAAACTTAACAAAATCTCGTTAAACTGTGAAAAAGAAGCAGTTTCAATTTTAATGTAATTTTTTTTCCCTCGCTATAATGTTTATATTTACTTTCCTTTAAAATGCTCTTTAAAAGAGATTTAAAAACTTTTGTCCTTCATTTTTATTTTTCGCATAAACAAGTTTTTGTTTTGTGGATATGTTTACCTTGCCATTTTCTTGTGTTAGTAATAAATAAGTTTTTTATATAGATTATATTACATGATTAGATTGTAAAGAAAAAAAATTGTTCTTCATAGATTTAAATATGTAGTTGATTCTCGATCAACCTCAACCAAAATGGTCGGGAAAGACCCAATTCCAGATAATGGAATTTATGCTAATTTTGATGAACAGTTTTTAAAAAAATATCAGTGAAATTTTAAATTATTGTACAATAAGTCCTTTATAATTATATCAAAAGAATAGAAAGTGAGTGAACAGATATTTTAATGTTTTTAGATTTACAATTACTATTTTTGTAGAAAAATAAAGAAAAAAATAGAGTTGTTTACTTAAACAGTTGTGTGTAAAATGATATCATGGGATTTTTCTTTACATTTTTAACTCTTATATTGGACTAATTTTGCATCAACTTTTACACAAATAAGATTTCACATTTCAGCATTTGCCTTTTCTTTTCTTTTGCTGTGTTGGATAGTTTTATCCTAGTTAATGGAGAGTCAATTCTCTATCATATTACTCTTTTGTAACTTTTTGTATTAAATTTTATTGTTATAATTGCTTCTGTTAAAAAATAGTTTCTTTTTACAATAGAAAAAAAAATTTAACATTGGATTCTTGGATTTAAATGTGTTAAGGAATCTATTTTCCTTAAATCAGTTAAGCTGAAATATTATCCAACTTTTATTTTCATTTTCTTTCATTAGAAACATTTCTCTTAAAATATTGACATTTTTTAAAAAAAAAAGTATATGCAGTGCCAGAAACCAGATTGAAAACTTTGTCTGAATTGTTGTGCTCTTAATTTTCTCCCCATCTGTGCATTTCTTTTTATTTGTATATTTTTATACTCCTAGATATTTTTTTCCTCATTTTTCAACCTGATATGTTTATTTATTTCTCTGTGTGTTGTGTAGTTTTAAAACTTCATTGAAATTTTTAAATGCAAAACAACAACTAAAGTTTTTTTCTCACAAAATGCAATAAATTTCAACTACTTCCTTTCAGTTGTGAAAAGCCGAAAATAATTCAGCTATTGAATTGAAATGAAATGTTAATAGCGATATATTATGTTCATGTTTTTATTTATGAAAGAGCATCATTATGATGATTGAGATAAATATATAAAAATCATTTCTTTTGAAGTAATAAAAAAAATAATGTTTTTTTTGTTATTTTTATACAATAATTTTAAAAATGAATTTAATATTAAAAAATTCATAGTTTTAGTTATTTTTATATAGTTATTCTAAACGTGCTAAATAAAAAGTCCTATTGTTGCCTTTTATGTTTTTCTTTTTTACCATTTTATTAAAATTATTATCAAATTTAGTTATTTAATATTGTAGTTCTTAATCAGAAGATTAAGATCTTATTTCATAATATCTTGAACTTCTATAAACATTTTATTTATTATGTCTTCCTTTGTCTGCAGTAGATTGCTATGGAAAGTGCCTGTAAGAGATTGCGTAACTTTAAAATTTTCAAAGTGTTTTTGTCTATTTTATAATCAAACTACTTAGGATAAGCCATAATATTTTTTTATATTGCTGATGTTACAATTTGTCTTTTAACAACATCACCTATCAATTAAAATTATATGCTGCAGTCTCTAAAATTGTTTTTTGGCTATTTAATTTCAAAGATATTTTGTGTATGTTCTCACTTGGGAAAAATTTAACATTTTTCTGAAAAGTATGCATTTTAACTGTGTAAATTGTAAAACAATGTTTCTAGTTTGTTTTCAGATTGCATTTATTTTTCTTTAAGCATTAATTTTTAAATAACAGATTTGTTTTACTCTATAATTAAAATGTGTGTTCAAAATTATAAAAATGTTTGTTATTTTTATATCTTAGCTAGAGTTATGAGTCATTGAAAAAAATCTGTAATTTTCGAAATTTTATTTATTGTACCCGCAATGTTTCTGTATGTATGTAGGAAGTACAATGAGGTGCACAGTTCTTCCCTTTTTTTAGGAGGTGGGTGGGGTCTAATGAATTAAGCTTTTATTGATAATAATTTATGTATGATACTCGGAGTAACTTTTTTGTAAGACAAACTATTGAGTATAAACTGAAGAAATATCATCATAACATTAATTTTTTAATGATTGATGGCAATATACCACTTGATCACATTAATCAATAGCATTGACTGTTTAAGTTAGTTTTTATTGCAATTATATATATAGATAACTGGAATAATTAAGTGCCTGGTTAAAGTATGATGTTCACTACAAAAAGTGTATGACAGAATATTGATTAACAAAATAAAAACAAGCTTTGTTCAAAGATATTGTTCATGAGCTTAGTATCAAACATTTTAACTGTTGTAGCATGAACTACATTAGAAAAGAATAAACATTGCTGGATACATTATTGAACCATTCAAGGTTAGGTTGTATGCATACTTTTATATACTTTTGTTCACGAGTATGTTAACAAATATAATATTGATCAATAAAAACTATGTTGCATTGTATTGAAATATACATTGTTTACACACTAGTGAGACTTAGTAATAAGTCAGTTTATTTTTGTGCATGAGTCTAATAAGAAATATAATAATAGATAATAAAATCTACAATGTGTGAGAATAAGCAATGCTGATTTACGAGTGAGACAATCAAAGATTTTCTTAGTTTTGCTTTGGTTTTGATAAATGATTTTAGTTTCAATTGAAGCTACATTCTATTAAAATAAACGTTTGTACATTTATAAGACTTAAAGAATTCATACTCTTATTTATTTTTGTTCTTTAGCATAGCAAAAAATATTTAATAATTGTTAATAAAAAGCTACTTAGTGAATACATAAGTGAGATATTCAAAGATTTCCTAAATTTTTTTATAATAAATAAGGTCTTTATCTAATTAGGAACTTGTTATTTAACTTCGTTATGCTGATTGCATGACGGAATTTATAAGAAAAATGTACTAAATGTTAATGTAATGCTAGTATTTTTTACAGACTTTCAGTGTTATTGTATTATAAATAGAATATTTTAAAGGGATGAAAGAAAAAAAAGATAGCATTTTATTAGTTTATTTTTAGCTTCTTTCTCTGAAAATATTATTTTACATATTTCACAAGTGTGCTTTAGTTCATTTTTATTCTCCTTTTTAAAAGTTCCAGTTTGTTAGATATGTAACATTAAGTTTCAGCATCCATGTTTAATTTTTTTTTGTTTGTTTGTTTAATTTATAGTCATTGTGCAGCAGCTTATTTTAATGCATTATTTTTGCTACCTACATTTGTGTGTGCATCATTTTAATATAATTTGTTAATATTACTACACAGATTATATATGTTTTATACTGCAGTTTTTAGTATTCTTAATTTTACTTTTATAATGTTTTTATGGTAGTTATTTGTAGAAAAAATAGTCTTGTTATAGTTGCATTTACATTTAAAGATCTCTTCCAAAAAGTATTTGTCATGCATCTTTCATCTTCAATTGAATTTGTGTGCTAATTGTGTACTTAAAGGTGCCTTATGAAAGTAAATAAAGCTCTATTTCGTTTCATTTTTTCATTCAAGTTTGTGGCAATTTTTTTCTATTTCTGTCAAACTTTGTTTTCCATATAATTCATAGTATGACATTTATGATTTTACCGATTTGAATATACTGGAATATGATACACTGGGTGGCCATAATTAAACTAAAAGGTATTCAAAGCCCGATAACTGGAAAATTGCTGAGCCAAATTTAAAATAGATACGATTTACACAAAATTCAAACATAATATTCACTCAAAAAAAAAACATTTTTTTTTTCTTTTGAAAATTAAATTTCTGTAGTCTAAATTGTATCTACTGGGAATTTGGTAAAGTTTGAATCAGCAAATAATGGGGTGGACAAAATAATGGAAACACTTCTATGCTAGATTTTTTCATATTTCCTCAGAAATACTTAACGAAATGTTTTTTAACTTCAGAAGTGTTTAGATAATGCAATTTCTTATACATATCAATGAAGTTTAGAGGCTTTAAGGACAAACAATAAATTACAAACAGAAAATGTTTTCGGACACCCTATCTAAAAAATGTAGCAATGGATTTGTAACTTGAGATAGTTAGTTTGATTACTATTTGCAACAATTACGCAAATTTTCGTAAGCCTAGCTTAAATATTTTTCGTAAGCCTCGCTTAATTATTCTTTTAAAAAATACGAGAACTACTTAGAAAATTGCTTGAAATTTTTAAGATATTCAAATCTGACTTTTTTTACCAAATACGTTTCACTATTGGCGATCAAAATGGGCTACATAAGGCAGAACTCTCCACCTATGACACTTCGCATGCTTTCACCATAGCGTATGGAGAGTCATAGAAAAAGGTAGTACGCTAGTTTCTCTCTTGATTTTCAAATACATTAAAAACTTTTAAAACTAAACTGAACACAGTTCTAAAAGAAAGCGTCATGGAAATTTTAAAAAATATTTTTGACAATTAAATACGAAAAATATTAAGAAAGGAAAAAATATCGCAGTACGGAACCGGTCTTCGTTCCAGATGGCGTATTCGAACGTTGCGATCGTGAATAGTTTTCTAACTTAAAAGTTTTTCAAATTTTAAAAAAAAAAGAAATTTTAATTAATTTTTATAATTTTGTTTAGTTTTATTAAATAATTTTAAAGTTATGGCATATAAAAGTGTAAAACAAAAAATATTAGTTTTTTATTTCAAAAAATGTGTTAACTCCATAAATATTTCAGCTAGGCTTACGAAATTTTGTGTAATGATTGCATATAATAATCAAAATAGCTTTCACAAGTTACAACTCTTTAGCTACTTTTTGTGGTGTAAGGTGTTTAAAAGCATCATTTTCCGTTTATAATTTATTGTTGGTCCCTCAAACTCTTAAAAGCTTTAAACTTCATTGATATGTGTGAGATATCGCATGATCTAAACACATCTGAAATTATAAAATATTTCGTTACGTATTTCTGAAGAAGTATGAAAAAATGTTTTAGTATAGAAGTGTTTCCATTATTTAGTCCACCCCCTATGTATAGTTCCCTAAACACAGCCCTTTCTGTATAATTTTAGAATTTTTATTTAAAAATGTATTAAAGAGAGTAAACACACGATGAATCAAAAACGCTAACGAAACCTGACAAGTCACAACTAAGTAAAACATGTCTAAATACATTAAAACTTGTTTGTTGAAAACGGAAACAGTTACAGAAAATTATTAATTACACCTTCGATTTTCATCAGGCAATAAAATTGGTTTTGATCCTTCCGATCTTCTCACTTATATGACTGGGTTTTGTAGTACTTTTGTTTCTTCCTTGCTTAAATAATAATTTACCACTAATAATGTGTATACTTTGGACTTCATTTGTAACAAGGATTTTTCCTATATATTTTTAGAATCCCTGTCAAAAATGTGGTGATTGAGATGTGTTANTTAAATATATAGCAACATGATATAGGAAACGAAAAAGTAAACAATGACCCACCCCCTCTAGAAGTTGACCACTAAAACAATGCACCACAAGTGGTCAACATACACAAGTTTCACTGTAGTAGTTTATATGCATTAATTGCCATGAAAATTAGCACTGTTCGAAAGACTTGTCAAAATAAAAAGAAATTTTACATATGTAAGTACAACGTTGGTATTAGAGAGTGATTAAAAAATCAAAGCAAATTGCGTAAACAGAATTGAGGCTATCATCACTCGTACGCGATGGTTTTTGCTTCCCAAATTAAATCTTTATTCATCACTGAAGACGCTGGTTCCATTCGGTCGCAGTCTAACCCCGTCGAGAACGGCGCCATTCCAAACGGAAGCAACATTGGGTTTCAAGCGTGCCTACGTTGTACAGTAGCACATCGCTTCTACAGCTGGTCTAATGGTATAGGATGCCATTGCATATGACATACGATCACCCCTAATATTGATCTAAGGCGCCGTGACAGCCTAGCGGTACGTTCGTGACATTCATCAGTCACATATGTTGCCACTCATGGTAGGGCTCCTAGGAGCCATTTTTTTAACGTGACACCATAGAAAGCAAAGCAAAGGTATCAGAGAAACACCTTTACCACATTACCACCCTTCCCTGACTTGCTCGATCCCCACCTAATGAGACTATCTAGGGCTACTTGCGCAACGGCAAGTTGAATTGTGTATAGTCGATGTAGCGTTATTTTTACAGCTACTGTGTAACGAAATATGGACATCAAACATCATAAGGAACTTGTAGGAATTAATGCCAGATCGTATAATATTCTGCAAGAAGTGGCTGTAGACTGTAGAGGATACTAAAACCTCCATTCATTTGCATTTTTTCCAGCAATAAATGATCCTTTTGTTTTGATCTTTTGATCACTTATTTATATCAAAGTCGTTTATTACTTATGTCAAAGTTTTACTTATATCAAAGTTTTCTGTCAGCTCTTTCTTGGCTCACTAATTTTTATGGCATTGAGAGAGTAAAAATGTGTGCACAGAAATTTTATTATGATCTGTAATTCTACATTAAATATCCTCTCTGGATTTCAAATATTGTGTTTAATTACTTGCTTTATGAAGTTTAAGGGAAACACGCAAAAATAATTGAAACAATTTTTTCCTAATCTATTGGAGCAGATCATACTATGATTTGTAATCGAAGCAGAATAATGTCAAAAATATTCTGTCAGGTTTACACACTATCCGTATATTTACTGTGACTAACATCGGTCTAGTCCCTATTATGCAATTATATAGACATCCATTCTTTATTCTTTCGCAAAAATATGAATTTTAGTGTTCTATTTTAAGTTTATAAAGTAAATATGCGAGCTTCGACATGAAATATGTATGTTTTCACTCGTTCACCCCGGGAAAAGTGAAAATACTAGTACGGGAAAAGAGAAAATACTGGTAGAAGAACTATTTCAATATTAGAAAATATTCGGGAGCAGTTAATCTATTCTCAACAATAACAATTCACTGTAAGGAAATTTATCACGGCGAAGAGGCAATTCAATATAGAAATTGCATCCGTTAAAAACAATTGGCATGATCGTGTTAATGGTGGAATAAGTTCACAAGAAAAAATTTATGGATTTAAAAAAAAAAAATTTGGATCGATAAAACAATTCGGAAAACAAAAAATATAGTTAACTATATATAGTATATATAGTACTATACACATATACTATATTTAGTAGTATAGGGTAATTACCCACGAAACTACTATTACTACTTATAGAAATAATTATATATAACATGCGAAAACTACTATTTTTTTCACCATTAACTTATACTGGGAGTGTCTCATACCATTACATTGTGTATTGGGCGTTAACTTACATTGACTCATTCACCATATAAATTTCAGGTGCGTTTAATAATAATTGTTTTTTAATTTTTTATTGTTTTAATCCTTCCCAGGCTGTAACGCTAGATAGAACCACTTTTGTTATAGGTTTTTTTCTCTCGCTTTTCAGCAATATATGAAGTGCGTATCAAAAGTCATGAAATGTATATACTTTCCGTACCTTTACTGATCCCAGCGTACATGTATTATTAAGTGGAAAGAACCCTTAACTTCACATTGTATAAGATAGTTTTTTTTTTTTTTAACTAGGAAACTGCTGACGCATACGAGAAAAAAAGTTGAAAGCATTTTCCAGTTTAGAGAAAAGAAAATTAGAATCAGGGACCAGTAACAAGATGGATATTATGATCATTGCGTCACACATTGATGGACATAAAAGGGGGATATATATTTTATCCCAAGTACAATTGCGTAAAATGTTTGACATATGGGTAGACTTAAACTAGACTGTTTCATTTTTATGCTTGGTCACTATTATTTAGGTGGAATTTTATGGATCCATATTGTTTGTCTATAGTAAAAACACCCTTAGCCAGTCATCTGCATCCGTGGAGGTGACTATGGTAAATAGGTTTAACTATTCCAAATAGGGGTGTGGGGACGGCGAAAAAAAGGGGAATATTTTTCTTCGGTTTATAGTGTTAGCCCTTAAAGGAAGAGAAGCTACTAGCTTCTCTTCCTAGAGAGTACCCTCGATGAAATGAGCTATTCTTGTTTCCATAGCAGCAGACGGCCTCAGACTTTGCGGTGGTGGGGGGGGGGAGTTTTCACCGTAGACAAACTATACTTATACGAAATATGAGTGACTACCGAAAAAGACGAAGACAAAAACATCCTAATTAAAAATAATATTTATTGTCGTTTTACATGTTTCTCGGAGTTTTTATTTTTAGGACATGGTTTTTGCCATCAATTCTGCCTATTTTTCGGATGTTCAAGAAAGAATAAGAAAAGGAGTCACCTGCATGCTAAAAGGCGTGGCTATTAGCCAGGGACCTGCTTACTACATATGTAGATATCATGACCGTTTGCCCAACCACATGACTCTGCGCTACTGAGAGTTCCTACTAAAGCACGTGCTATCTCGTACAAGATGAAAAAACATACCAAAGCTACCCTTCATCACCAGACAGACCACTTTTCTGCTGGCTTGAAGGTTTTTGAAGTTTAGTCTTCATCATAAGGATAACAAATCTAGGAAGATAAATCGCCTGCCGTATGCGAGAAAAACAATGAGGATTCTTGTAATCTGTGATTTTAATCAGATGTATTGCTTTCATTTATGCCTGCAACATTATTGCAGGTTTCAAAGTTTCAGCTTCCAGGAACGTTTAGTTGGGGACTAACCATTGAAAGCCTTCTCTCGTTTGATGCCACCCTCAAGTAAAGAAAACACACAGAAGAAGCTTTACGTATCTGGAACTATGTAACACATAATTTATAGTAAAAATTACAAAGCTTGTTCAATATTATGGTTGAATGACGTGGTTTCCAGTAGATCACCGAGTTAAAAGATCAGTAGCAGTGATCAGTGGAATGATGGGTGACCACTTTGATTAACCTGCGAAGGGACCGAGGGTGTGTGGTATTGATCCTTGTTAAACTGTTCCACTGTAAAGCCTTCGATTTCATGCGCAAGTCGTTGGGCTACCAAAGAGAAGGAGCCACACCCTCAGCAGAGGATCGAAATTATGATGGCATCTATTTGGATCATCCTCAGAGATGTTTCTCCGATCTTCGCCAATAGCTTATTGTGTAGCTCTCTTGCAATCTGAATCAACCATAAAAAGTTCGATTTCATCCGAAAGTAGTCGGGTGACCAAAGGGAGGGAGCCATCCCCCCTTTCACAGGATCAAAATTATTATCGTATGTCTTCGGATCATCCTCAGGGATGCTTCCCAGACAATCGCCAATAGCCCATTGTGCAAGAAGTTTCAGAAATACGCATGCTACTTTTTATCGCTTATGCCTGACGCAATTTTTTAGTTATCCCTGAAATTTTTTTTATCGCTTTCTGAGAAAAGTGAATCATTTATGTTTTTGAACGAAATGATTCGCACCGATCATTTGCGAACTACCGACTATTAAGTAAAACTTGAACTTTCGCCTCGAATAGCACTTTTTAAACTGCATGCGTTCGAATTCAGGAGCTTATTTTTAATTCACCTGAGACGAGTACAATCCGTGTAAAAAGTTGATATTTTCAAACACAATGTTAAGTTGTATAGATGCCAGTTTCATATACCTGATTTGATAAATGTTTCAAAATAAAATGTTGAATGATCATTGATTTAAAAAATAAATGTTAGTTTTTCAGCATATGTTTCTTTTGCAATCATTATTGGTCGAATAGGTAGTTTTGTTTTATCGCTGTGCAGTGTAGATTAATTAACATTATTTACAAAATAAACATTTTAATTTGTTTGTTTATTAATACTATGAACCTCCACTTGAGTTAATCGTTCTGCGCATTCGCAATGCATTCCGTAACTAAGAATGGCTGCTGAATGAAACAGAATGTGATGGCATTTAAATTACTCTGACTCGTAGATCCTATCATGCGTTTGTTTTTCACGATTTGTGTGTGTCAAATTATCTTTACATTCTTTTTTATCGATTGATTATGGCTGCTGTTGCTACAACTAACGGTGAAACGGATGAGAAATCTTTATGGCCAGAGTTTTGTGAGAAAAATGCTCGAGGAGCTGCGATTGAATTTGTTCAAAGTTACCGATTGTTTATCAACGATCACCCTAGCCTTGGTAAAGTAGTCAGCAATCAGGAAATAAGTCGCAAATTCATTGACTTTTTTATCGAGTATTTTGATTTAGAAGTTAAGAAAAAAGTTGGAGAGAACTCTACATCTTCCAATGGACACAGTGTTCCTGAATCCACTTCCAGTGGTGACGCACCTCGAACTCGACCAAAAAGTCAAGATACGTCTCAAGAAAATGTTCGAAATCAGGTAACTGTCACAAATCATGAGGATTATAGTGATCTATCGGATCCAGAGACTGAATCACCCAAATCTCATCACAGAGCTTTCTTTAGACGTTTATCCTTTAAAGGGTTAAAACGTGGTAAAGGTCTGTTTCATAAACAACACTCTGATGAAGTTGAACTGTCTCATCATCATGACAGACGTGCTCGCAGTGATAAACATGAAAAAACTAAAGTGACTAAAATTATTGTAGAATGTGTGAAAGAAGGTATTGTTAGTTATTTGACTGGTGACTATTTAGATGGTCGACAAAAGTGGGAGAAATGTAGACTACTTTTAGTGAAAACCACTGGAGGTTATATGTTAGAATTTTATTCTCCACCTAAGGTAAGAAACCTAGCATTATTTATTTTAAAAAAGTTGATAATAAAAGTTCTTTAAAAAGTTATTCAATAAGAAAGAGTTGAATGCATGCTTCTTAGTTATAATTCAACTCTGAAAGGTCACAATACTATGTGTCAAATAAGGCTTTGTTAGTTATTCGACTCCTAACTATTTGGATGATCCACAGAAATAGGAGATCCTATGTTGACTATTTTTAGTAAAAACCATTGAAGATTAAATTTTGTTGGGGATATTTTCGTATTGTGATCTGTCTCACCAACTACAATCGCCAAGAGGCCAAATAGATTTTAAACTTGCACATTTTTTTAAAAAAAACGTGTAAATGTTTGCCCGGGAGGGGGCTACGAGTTATACCTTTCGAGTTGGTCCCTTTCTGTGATGTTTTTTTTAGTTTCTCGTGGGCCACTGTCCGGAAGTTTCCAAGACATGTTGGTTATTCTGCCACTGATCACGATACGGAAATCTCCCCATTTTGTTCTTCTTTAAAGGTAAAAAACTGAACGTACTTTTTTTTTATTTGAATAATGTTGATATAAGTTTTTTTAGATGTTTATTCTATGAGTACCAAGCATGCTTGGGAACTAAACAAACTGTTCCGCTTTGGGCTGACCACCCAACTGGAACATTTGCTCTTGCACCCTAGAGCCCAAAAGTCAAGAAAACTGAGATGGGCACAGTAGGCCTTCGCTCTCTATAGGCTATCGCACCACTGAGTTTTGTTTAGTTTTATTCTCTAACTAATTTTCACATTACTATGTGCCTAATACGGTGTTAATTTTATGACCAGTGACTATTTACATGGTCAATAGAAAAGGGATAATAGACTTTATATTTAAACTGTATGAAGAATAGATATAATATATAGTACAAACCAATGGTGTTTTATAGACTAGAATTTTATTCTAAACCTAAAATAAGATAGTAAGAAACTGAATAATTTGTTTATAAACTGAATAATTTGTTTATAGTTGATGGCAAAAATTTAGTCATCAAGAAACTGTCTATTTACATCTTTTTACTGTAATAAGTTGTTTATTAATGTTGGCACATTATGTATCAAATAAAATTGTCATTTATTTGAATTAGCAAGCCAAAAAATGATGGAATTATGTAGACTCAAGTAAATTCTAAATTCAAATGGACTAGTGAAAATGTGTATGGAATAGTAATATCTTTTAGTTAACTACTGGTCATTAGGATTAGTGATTAAAGATTTTTAATTCCTAGCCCTGCTTCATTGTGAATAGGCTTGCGTAATATTTGTCACCATTGCGGAAACGTCTTTAATAATATTGCTCATTATCATATAATGTAAGTTCTGATTATTACAATATACTGAATTATAGAGTAGGCTAAAAAATTATACAATGTGTATGCATTTTGATTATACGTTGCATATGTTTATAATTCAGGGTTTGCGTATAAAATCATAAAATTTGCGAATAAAATTATGTTTTTGTTTCACGAAAGAAAGTATTGGCGAATGAGTTTTTCCACTGGAAAGAAAAATGTAATATTTTACTGAATCCTCAAAATGAATTTTTTTGAACAAATCATTACTATTCGATTACAGTAATTCTTGGTAGATGCGCTGCATAATCGATTAGAATTGGGACCAAATAATACAACCCTGCAAACAAACTACTGTAGAATAGTTTTCTATGAGAAAAAAATTAAATATAAAAAATTGTTAAGATTTGCATGTGGCGAAGCTGTTTGAAAATTGGCGAATATTTTTGATATTTGGCTAATTTACTGACTAATAATTTGAAACCCTTAGCATGGGCTCTGATAATGTATAATAAAAAGCATACAATATATTTAAAAATAAATGGTCAAAATTTGTATATTCTACTCTGCAGTCTATTTTAGAAAAATCAGATATAATAACAGAAAAATTGGTTCGTCAATAACTAATTTTACGCCATTTAAAAACTCCAAATTTAAAGAAAAATGTGTTGTTATGTATAACAATCAATATAGAGTTTTGTAAAAAGTTAAACACCTAATAATGAAAAAAAATTTCAAAATTAGGTAGCAGTAAAAGGGGTGAAACTAGTTACAGGAGTCGATAAATTGCTTGCAGATGGTTTTTTAATTGAGATTTTGTTTTTCAGAAAGTTTTTTCATATTATCTTGAGAAAAGTTTTTCATTTTATCTAAGTCTATCTGTGCTATATGTAAGAAACTTGACATAATAAAATAAAATTCATGAAAAAGTATCAAGAAATTGATAACGTACATTTGTCCTCTCTCAAAGTGATTTTAAAATTAAGCATATTTGTATCTATAACACTGTTTTCATCATAGAAAAAAAATGGGTGAGAATTTCTCACCCTTTCTCAAAAACAGGGTGAGATTTCAAAAACTTAAGTGAGATTTCTAAAAACTAAAAAAACACAAAAACTCTCAAAAAAAAAAATTTCTTTAATTATAATGCATTTTTAACGTCTTCTGTTTTTTTAAAGCATTGAATATTTTTGGTGCATCATCATAGAAGATTTTGCCTTTACAAGGTTCCATCTTACATTAGCACATAAAAAATTTGAACGTCTTACATGAAGAAACCTAACCTACGGTAAATACGTGGTTGCAGAGAAATGTGTTCTGNGTTTATGTTGGGAGCAAATGTTGAAAATAATGAGAGATCCAGGAAGAAAAGTGAAACGGATTTTATTCTAAATAGCGTAATTCGAAGCTTCTTCCAAAATGCGAGAAATTCGCGAATTTTGAAATTGATTTATAGAATGCGCGAATTACTCGCGGTAATAATTTTTTAATGCGAGAAAAGAAAAAATATGCGAGACTCTCGCGCTGCAGTGAAAACACTGTATAAGTCATATAAAATTCGAGCATTATACAAATTTATTATCACTGCCATTTATTGTATTTAATTTGTGTTTAGAGTTTAAATTATACCTCTTCTAAAATATGAAGTTGAAAAGTTACGCCTGAATGCAATATGCAAAAAAAAGTGTGTTCATCTGCCAACCAGCAACAAAGTTGCCTGTGCGGCTTAACAACCCATCCCTACTTTAAAATCTTTATTAAAACGCATAGGGGATAGTTTGCATTTTTTAAATTATGTTTTGAAATTTATATATAAACTTAGGGTTGTCTTTTCTTTTTTATACATTTTTTTTTGATATTTAAACCTTTATTTGACACTTGTCTGCAAAATCCAGTGTTTTCATTAAAATGCCCACCATCTTTACAAAGTATGGTCATTTTTGCAATTCAGATGTAATATAATTTAATTTAAATTTACTTTTAAAATTAAACATCCACTCTATGTAAAATCACTGTTCTTTTTTAGTCTGTGAAGCCTCGAAGTGGCCTTTTCTGCTTTTTAATTGTAGAAGCTAGAGAAACAACTGCATTAGAAATGCCTGATCATGAAAATACATTTGTTTTAAAAGTAAGTACATTAAATAAACAATTTTGTTACATTTATATTTGCTATTTTTTTTATTAAACTGTATATATGTACCCAATATTTAGCATTCAAATGCTCAGTATTTAACGTTATTATAACATGTAATTGTTCAATAATTAATATCCCGAAATGCTTACCAAGGGGACCAAGTCGCCATAGTATTCTTGGGGGGAGATACTTTTTTTTTTTTTAAATTCTGTACAATTTTGTAGTTTTAAAACTGTAATTTAAAATTACTGAATATTTTTGGTTTATTTAAAGAGGTATTTTTGTAATATTGGCAGCATTTTTTAATATTGAGGGGAAAGATAACTTTTAAATTCTTTTTCGTGGGGGAAATTTTTTAGCCAAATTTATTGCATAATCATAAATGGACAACTAACTTTGTAATTGCATAAAATAACTATTATTATGAAAAGCACATTTAGAAGTGGTTTAGTTTGAGGGGAACGGGAAATATTTTGTGTGGTAGATTAGATTTCAAAATCTTTAGTGTGGTGGATTAGATTTCAAAATCTTTTTTGGTATAGGATACTTTTCGAATTTTTCTTTTTAACGGGAATTATTCTTTTTAGGCAAGGTTAGTGTATCTTTAACCAAACATTTAGGCAATAAGGGAGCCATATTTATAATTAATTTATCGATTGATTAAACTAAAATATTAGTTTTAATTTATTTTTCAGGGGGATATTTTTTAAAACCTTATTTGGCAAGGTTATTAGTTAGATCATTTTATCACATCTTTATTATAATAAAAAAAGATGGAATTCAGATAAATTCAGAGTCTTTAAGCAACAAATCTTTATTTCTTGTAACTGCAGTGTTAGGTCTCCTTTCAAAGTGGATGGAATTACGTACATCACGGCTAAATCGTTTTATTTTTATAGAATAATTAAATTCTTTGGTATCAGTTTAAAAAGAATTGAAACGTAATCTCAACATTGATGATATAAACAATCTTAATAGGAGAGAAAAAGAAGATTTTCAGGAACATAATGAATATTGAACCACTTCAGTTATATAACTAGTTTTCTTGCTTCCCGATTATTTTGGGATTTTGTTAACTGTTAACCATAATTAATACAAATAAATTTTCGAAGAATTTGTTAGACAAAGTTGAACTTGATAAAGAACAGTTTCCGTTATGATTGAGAATTGGTATTCCTCACGGGAACTGAAAAAAGTATTGGTATTTAAAGTCAGTTAAAATAAAACACCAGAATAAACTCCAGGGAAAAAACAGCAATCGGATATTGAACCTGAATTAATAAAATATTATTTTAAAATTAATTAATGTACAAGGATTAATTAATGTACAAGGATGGTTTGCAGTTCACATTTTTACATATATTAATACTTTTATTTCTTATTTTTATACATTTATTGTAACCAGATAAAAATAATAAATTTTAAAAACTACTCATTTTTTTTCTCTTAAAAATGTATATTGTATAGAAATTTTCATCATTTTTATAAATATTTTAAACTTTTTGTAAGATTATCAACTTGAAAAAGTAATTTGCATTGCAAATCTGAAAGGGACATATTTTACTGTGTATTTTTTTCCCTTCCTATTATGTTATTTTTCACAATGATATTTTTGTTTAATGAAAACATCTTACAAAATATTTTTAACAGAGTCTAATTGAGATAGATTGGATTAAGCTGAAAAATTAAAGCTATTGTTTAATTAAAATCTTTATATATTTTAATTGTTTATGAAATATATGGGGAGAGATTTATCAAATTTGGAGAATTTTAAAGATAGTTATAAAAATTTTTCTAAAATTTTAATAAAATGGAATAATTAAAATACTAGTTTTGCCAATGCTTTCTCTACTAAAAAGTGATCTATATATTAAAAGGCTTTCTACAATATGCTCTTTAAATATATGAACATGCTAAGAGGATTGTTAATTTTTTTAGAACCATTTAGAATTTTAAAATATAAAGAACTGAATATGAATATTTTTATTTACTTCAAAAACAATATAAAAATAAAATTTATGCTGATATGTAATTTTCAGTGTGTATATATAATGAATTTGTTGCTGCAACAATCTGTAGTATTAACTATTTATATTTTATAATTCTTTTAGACTGATAACCATATTGAATTTATCATTGAAGCTCATGATTCAAATGACATGAAATCTTGGCTTTCTACTATTAAATATTGCATGAGGCATTTAGGAGATGTGAACTCTGACAGTTCGTGAGTAATGTTTTCTATTTCTTGTTTTTGTGGTGTTCTCTTTAATGTTTGATTTTCTTTTTATTTTACATATTTGTTGCACAGCTATATTCTTTGTTTTAAATTCGTGTACTTACTTTTTGACGATTGATATATTCAATTTATGATCTTATTGCAACCAAATTTCTGTTTTCAACTTTTATATTTATTTTTGTTAGTTAATATTTTGTGTTTTATATTTTTGTTTCAGACGCCCTAGATTGCCTACAGCTCCATCTGATAGTTTAACTCGATTGAGGGAAAGAGCTAATGCTGCTAAAAGTAAATTTTTAATATTCTTATATTGAAAAATATATGTGTTTTTATTTTGTTAAAAATCGAAAATCTGTTAAAACTATGTATGTTTTTTTACAAATATTTTAATTAACTTGGTATTGTTCTTTGTAACAGAATTTTTTTGGGCTCTCTGCGACCAGGGGTCTGTCCAGACCAAATTTACTACCGTTTAGCGGTACCTTCACAAATTCAACTTTACGAAAAACGGTAGTTTCACACATTTAATTTTAGGAAAAACGGTAGTTTCACAAAATACTTTTTCTTAAAATTTTATTTTTGTATTCCTTAAGAAATGATAAATCCATATTCTTGCCATATTTTTGTGTTGGATTTTTAAATATAACTTTTAATTTTTCACAAATTATGTCTAAATTTTCACAAAATATGTCTAAATTTTCACAAAATAGGTACCTCTCAGAAAAACCTAGACAGACCCCTGGCGACAAACCTGTCCAGTATTAATATCTTTCTGCAAGATACTTTTAATAATAACAAATATACGTGTTACTAATTTAAAGAAACAAAAGCATCAAATTCAAAAGAAGAAAAAAACTTATTGGAAAAAATAATGTAATTTTTAAAATTGAATATGTAATATTTTTTATTCTATTATTATGAACGATATTCTCGCATTTTGTATGGGGAAAAACACTAATTATTAAAAATAGTTGAATCCCAAGCAGTAACTACTGAAAATAAAATATTGATGACAAAATGACGCCAAATCAAACTCTTTAAAAAGGTTCTTAAAAATTTGTGTTTTCATTTCAAGATTCAGTTGTAATAAATAATATCAGATTAGAAATATTGAATTTTAAAAACTATGTTTAATTCAATAACAATAACTGCAAAAAAAAAAAAAAATAGAATAAATATTTCTGAAGAAAAGAAAATAGAAGAATTAAAAGCCTTTTTTTTCCACTCTGATGGGCAAGAAAATTCTGAAGAAAAAATAGAATCTTTCGAAAATTTCTGCAGAAAACAAAACCAAAGTATTTTACTTCCCAAAGGAAAAATCTATCTGCAAGAACTCAGTAGCATTTTGCGACGATGTCCTTGTGTCGCCACTATTCTGCTATCGGATATTGCTTATGTGTTAATTATTTAACTTTATTTTTAATGCGGTTCATTTTCTTATTTGTGTTTTAAAGGTGTCTAGTATTGAAATATAATTTTTGTTACTCAACTGACTGTGTGCTCACATCAAAACGGAAAAAATTTAATTTTCCATTTGCAGAAAACGTTTTTTCTTAATGATAGTCTTAGGGTGCCGCAGTGTTGCATTCGATTAAGGTGTCGTTCACGCCACAGATTGGAGAGCTGGAGGTAGTGAGTTCATTCCTGACAGTCGACAAAACAACTGGCGTGTATATGTAACAAAATGTATGTTAAATCTGTCATGGCTGAAAATCCTGTTGTGTTGTAGAAGTTTAGAGTGAGGGATCCACATTTTCTGACCAGGGTAAAAATTATGTAATATTCCTACAATAAATATTAAAAAATAGTGTCCTAAAAATAGGACAGGAGCTGGTTGGGTGATGATGATATAGTTTTATGATGCTTGATTATTTCGTACATATTATATTTTTGACAGTTTTTCTAAACCTAGTGCCATTTTAAATAGCAAAATGATAACACTACTTCTGTTTTCATTTCTGGCTTCCACCTGAACATAATTTCTTTTCCTTATGATAGCTTTTCTTGATAATGTCTGATCATTTTGTTTGTTTTTTTGCTTTTTACTGTTTTCTCGGAATTGGGTTTCATTTGAATTATGGAAATAAAGACATTACTGTATTTTTTTGTTTGTGGTTCCATCCTAAAGGAAAGTTCTTCTCTTCATGGTAACTAGTTGATCTTTAATCATTTTACATGCATTTGTTTTTTAATGTGTTTCTAAACTTTGTGTCATTTGAAATATTCAACTGTCTATTAATTTTTCAAATGTAGTNAAAATTATTTGCTTTTGCATTTTTTTCTAGCTATTTTATTGTTTCAATTCTTTCTTTACTCTGTTTTTTAAATTTAAAATCTATAAATATGAAGATGCAGAGTATAGTTTTGGTTATGCCTTTTATTATGTTATTATAATGCTTTTTTAAATGCATTGTTGCGTTTTTGTCGGAGAAAATAGTAACTTCATTAAGTCATGAAAAATTCTTGGAATTAGTCATGGAAAATCATGAAAAGTCATGAATTTGAAAATCTAAAATGTAGCAGATACCCTGCATTTGAAATATTCAACTGTCTATTAATTTTTCCTTTGTAGTTTCCATCTGAATTAGTTCTTTACATTTAATGATATCAATTTAGTTCTATTTTTCACAACGATACCGAACAATTTTTATTTTAAAGTGCTACAGCCATAATTTGTTAGCCATAAAAGTTCAATTCTTTATACACTTTCTTTTCCTGGAAAGCTTGAATGACTGTATGATCGCAAGCTTGCTTAAAGTATTTTTAATGGGTACCTTGAAGTGCTTTTTATAAAATTAAAACTTGCAATATAACAGCATTAATTCACTTGTGACAGCTAAAAAGCATACAAAAAAATAAGGTATTTGTCAGAATTATTTTTTGTAGCTGTTTAGATTTTTAAAAAATGATTAAGCATACAAAAACAAGGTAGTTAAACAAAAGTAGTGAAAAAGGTAAATATGAATTCGGTAATTCAAATGTAAGGGATTGTTAGTAATACAGTAAAATAAAAGGATGTTAGATGAATTGTTTAGCTTAAATTTACCTAAATCTTTACATATATGGAGTTAATTTCCTTATAATCTATTTCATGCTTCTTTTAAGTCAATATACTTTATAATATTTGCATCTTTTTTCTATTTTTAAACTATGTATATAAAATATTTGTGTTAAATGTTATTTTCACTTACTACTACTTTTATTACTTATGTTTTAAATTTGTAGGAAATGAAGATACTCCTCCTGATGCGAGTAGTCCTGATCCTCCTCCTGATCTTCCCCCTAGAGGTGTAGCTGCCTCAGGAAGTGCACAAAGTGCTGCCTCTACAGCAACAAGTGATCCTCCAGCACAAAATGAACAAGGTTCGATTTTGTATTTGTATTTTCGTCACTTTACATTTAGGATTATTATAATTATTTATTATAATTATTTTTTAAATTTTTTTTAATAGTAATTAATGCTTTGTGGTGAAACCACACCTTATCACCAGTTATAGAGTGACCATAAAATATATGATACGCCAAAAAGTGTATCCGCGACTTTGACTGACTGCTGGATGGGTTTAGTTGGAGGGATTCAACTATCAGGCTCGTGACTTGTTCGCATTTGCTGTCTTCAATCATAGAAGGGACAACATATTTTAACATATGTAACATAACTAGGAAACATATTTTATTAGGATGTTTTTTGGGGGTAAACATAGTAGTTTTGTATTGTTTTCCTGTGTGAACATGAATTATATAAATATTTAATCGAAAATTACTTTTCAGCACTAAATATTTTAATTCACTTACCCTCTACTGAAAAAAGGATTTTTTTTTTAAATTTATGCTCAAAAAGTAATTTTGTTTTGAAATTTTAGGAGAAGGTGGGCCAGATATTTATGTTACATTACGTGAATACCCTTGGTTCCATGGTATGTTGTCAAGAAGTGATGCTGCTCAGCTAGTTCTAAGGGATGGTCCACTAGGTCATGGAGTCTTCCTTGTTCGACAAAGTGAGACAAGAAAAGGAGAATATGTTTTAACCTTTAATTTTCAAGGAAGGGCAAAAGTAAGCCGTTAATTTTTTTGAAATGACAAATTAAAATTATAAAATATAAAGGGTTTATAGAAAGAAGGATGAACCATGTGAAAAAATATCGTGAAAATTCGAAATTTGTAGTGAAAATTTGTCTTGCCGAATTGACAATTTCATCACATTTTGCAAGCTGGTGAATGCTGAGCGGGGGCTCTGGGTTATAGTAATGGGGGATCGTATTAACAAGCATGGACTGTACCCCTGTTGCAGAATCACGGCGACATTGTCTCAGAACATTACTGAGTTCTTGCAGAAAGATTTTTCGTTTGAAAAGTGAAAAAATTTTACTTTCCTTTTCTACAAAAATTTACACATTATGTTTGAATCATGCATTTAGATAATAACTTTAAGACGAGCTCAATTTGCGCCGATAGTATCCTAAATCGATGTAATGTCTCCATTGTATTTCCGACAGTTATTGTTATTTATTTTCACGTGGTTTTTAAATATACAGATATATTTCAAACGATATGGAAAATTCGAATCGTGCATTTGAGTATTTACTTTTTAAGTCAATAATTCTATCGAATTTTCGGCAGTTATTGATATTAATTTCTCCATAGTTTTTTAAATCCGACATTTTTTATACGATATTATTTATTACAACAATCTAATCTCAAAACAAAAAACTCAGGATTTGAAAAGTCCGATTCGTGTGATTTCGTCGTCAATTTTTTTCGGCAATTACCACTACATGGATTTCATGATTTTTAAGTAATTTTTTGTTGTGATACTTAATTACAAAATGCGAAGAAGGACATAATTTGTGCATACTCTCACCCCCCCCAAAACGGGAAAATACTACCCATAATATTTAAATAAATAATTATTACACATTCACTTTAAAATATATATATATATATATATATTTTGTAATAACAGAGCTATTGTTATTTTAAATTAGTAACATATACATTTGTTTTCTTTAAAAGTATCTTGGAAAAAGATATTAGTGCTGGAGAGTATTGTCGCAGATAGTTCGAAAAAATTCTGCTACAGGGACTATACATGAGAATTCAAAATTCTTAAAACTTAAAAATTTATGTGAAGCATTGGTTGTGATCTTTTTTTTTTGTCAGGAAAGATATTTAGTCATGGATTGTTAAATTTTTTTTTTTATCTTAAAATTTTATAAGTGTTATAAAAACTGCATGAGCAAAATTATTCCCCCCCCCCCAATCTGTTGAGTCTGTTTTGACCTGAACCAGGGAACAATCAATCTCTGATTCAGCACCCCCAGAGGTATGATTTGTTATGGGAATATGGCGGACTTTGTGACTGACAGATTTGACGTGCAGCAGTTATTGTTTACTACACAGGAAGAGTCTTTGGCCGGTCAGAATCAAACTCACGACATCTTGGATATGGGCCCTACACTCTACCAACCTGGCTATCCCGACCCACTTTTTTTAGCATACAATTTTTATAACTTCTGAACTATTTGTCCTATCATTTTGGGGTTGTTCTCATTGTTAAAAAAATACTTTGGAAACAATATCTTGTATATCTAAATGACTATGCACCCCCCCCCAATTTACTTCTATCACATGCTATTTTTTACCACTGACTATGAAGAAGGTGCTTAACTGTTTGCATAAATTTTAATATTTTGTTTTTATGGATATCTGGGTTTTATTTTTACAGTACAAATTTATTTTCCTATGATTTTTCAGCATTTGCGAATGACAATCAATCCAGAAGGTCAGTGTCGTGTGCAGCACTTGTGGTTTCAAACCATTTTTGACATGCTGGAACATTTTCTGCAGCATCCAATTCCACTTGAGTCTGGTGGAGCATCAGATGTCACTTTGACGGAATATGTTGTGAATTTAGAAAGCACGCAAGCTGCGTCTCGCTCACGGGCGTCGCCTTCTCAGGCAGAACCAGCTCGGTCAAGCGGGATTCATCGTGTGCCCAGCATACCTGAAATGAGAGAAGTAGTGACTGTTCAAGGCTCTGTAAGAGTGAGGAGTCAGTCCCTTGAAAATGTTCAAGCTCATGCTGGTCACCATGCATCTCAACAACCACCACGTGCTGTTGAAAATACCTATTCTTTTGTTTGATACATAATTTGTTTATTTGTTGCAATAATTCTTTCTAAAGTTCCGAATTTTTTGAGCTATTATCAACTGCCAAAATGTACTGAAGTGATCAAATGCTTGTTTTGTAAAAAATTGTAATTTTGCTTTGTTTTGTTTTCTTTTTTTTTCTTGTTTGTATAATATGCAATATTTAAAATTTGTTTTAGTGGTTGTTTTTCATAATATTTATGAATTGATTATTAATTTTGCTATTTATATAATAATGTCAGTCTTTATAGATTTTACCTTCTGATTTATAATAGATTATAGAAAAAAAATATTATTTCTCTCTATACGAAAAAAGTTTAATTTAAAGTGATATTAAGCATTTATAAATTTTTTTTCTGAAAAAATCATTTTATTAAAAAATTATACCAGTATTATAGATAAGTTTTATTTTCAATTCTGAAAATATCATTTTATGTATATATTTTGTTCAAAGTATTTGAACAGAAACAAATAGAGGGTTAATATTCTGATAAGTAATTAGTTAAGTTTCAATAAGTATTTTGAATGAATATTTTTTCAAATATTGTTTTGAGTTTGACATATATATGCATACCTGCCAACTTTCACTCTTTTCGAGAATGGATTTACCTAGTAGTAGTAAAACAATTACCGAAAAACAATCTTACTAAAAATATATTTATATTTTGACCAGGGTAAAATTCGCTATCGTAAAGACTATTATGCTTTTATATATATATTTGTTGTATTTATTTATATGTAGTGGTGGTCAAACTCATTTATAATTATTATTATAATTCAAAAAAGTTTAATGGAATAGCTTGAGTTTCACTATCACTTAAAATATGAAAATAAAATCTTACAAACAAAAGAAGAAGAAGAAAAAAAAAAAAAAAAGAGTTGGCAGCTAATGTATATGTACTTTTGTTTCTAAAGCTTTTTTTTTCCAATTTAACTGGTGCCATAAAAAAATATGAGTTCATACTTCTCTGTTAGTTTCATTGTTTAAAATTAATCATTTTAGAAATTATTTATTTATATCTTTTAATGAAGAACTGAACGCAATTTTATCCTATTGTTTCAATCTGAAACAATTTGATATTTAACTATGAACATAAGGTATTTTCCAGGATCTGTTATAATTTTAGGTTTCTGCAATGTTTTTTACTAAAATAAGTTTCAGACTATAAAAATGTTGCCTTCCCAAAATACTTTTATTTAATTGTTTTTGTGTAATCAAAACTCTTTGATAATTTAGTTAAATGCAGTGAATAAGTTTTTTAAAACCCTTCAGTGATTGTATATATATGTGTGTGTTTAAATATTTGATTGTTTGTTTGTACATCTTTAAAAATATTCTATTATGGTTCCTAAATTTTTTTCTCTATATACAATTTACAAGCTCTGAAAATTTTCATATACTGCTTAAGTTTGGACTTCTTTTTAAAGTAATAAAAATGTTTTATTTGTTAAAACTATTCTTTTTGTCTATTAATAATTACAGAATGTTTATAAATATCATTAGAACATTTCTCTCAGACAAATGATCAGAAATAAGAAATTGGAAAGTTAAATTCAAAAACAAAATGTCATTGCATCAAGGGGAAAAAATGCAAAAGTGTAATTTTGCAAATAAATTGACATACAGGGAATCAGACATTTAGGTAGTAGTGAAAAACGATTCAAAGTGTTCTTTCTTATCCTTCTAACCATAATTTTGTCTTCAATGCAACCTCTGCACTGCTAAATTACAAAATATTGCTTTTATGATCAGTATACATTTGATTTCTTTAATATTTGTATTAAAATTGAGCCTTATATAGTGTATTCTTGATTACTCATGTAAGATTTTGACTTACGTAAAAAGTTTGACTTAAGTTTTTTTGAATAAAAAAAATCAAATTCTTAAAGGAAACTTCCTTTTTTTAAAATTGTTTTTTCAGCATTGGTGATTGGCTAAATTATCTTGAAAAGACAAGTTTAAGCTTGGTAGAATGCATGTTATAAGCCATAAGTGAAATTTTTCGATGACGAAACATTCTTTTCTTAGTACATTCATTCTTTATATTTCAGTTAAGAAACCTTCCATCTTACCATAAATTATTACATCAATTCAAAATTGTAAAGAAAATATCTACCTTGAAGTGAAAGAAAAATTTTCTGAAGGGAAAAAAATGGAAACCTCTAGCTATTTATTTCTAGAAATTGAGTAAACTTAAATTATAATTTCAAACAAGGCATGGCATTAAAATAACAATTCTATTTGATAAATGTATATTATGTAAAATTTTATATTGATTATCATGTTTGAATAGTTGAAACATTTTATGAAACAAATTACTTATGCATGTAATTTATAGTAGGATCAATGGTCTTGGAGAACCCATCTTTTTATAATCACATTTCTTGTTGATTAATCTGAATAATCAAGAATATTATCATTACTGAATAAGCATAGTCATTAAAAATTCATTGGCTAGAAAAGACAAATGAATAAACATAACTTCATGAAATTAACTTTTTAGGGAAGTACACATTGTGGAAATTCACATTAAATCTAAGTTAAGCTTAAAATAAAGAGAATGTTTGAAAACTTTTGATAGGGTATAAATTAGCCACCAGATGTGTCCTTATGGTAAATATGTCCCATTTAAGTTTCAACTCATTTACTTTTAAATTAACAAAAACTTTCTGCTATTTTGTTTGTGATGTTATGATTAGGCTGTCTGTCTTTTACCTGAAAGATCCAGGGCTCTAATCCCAACTGTGACAGTTGAATATTATCTCTGATTTTCTTCTCTAGTAAGTTTGATAATTGTTGAATATGTTTTAACCAATATATATATATATGATTATTTTTTAATTTAAATTAATTTTTCAAATAAAATTAAATTTTTAAAAACAGAACAAATTAATTTTTTTCTTCAAGTAAAATATATGGATTATTTAAAAGAAAAATTACAAAAATTTTCAGTTACTACTTTTTAAAAATAATCCAAATATTTTAATGAAGAAAATAAGTATCTATTATTTTTGCTTAAATTTTTTAAAAAGATAATTTAAATCAAAAACCAATAATTTATAAACGAAATAAAGCATGTTAAATAGTTATCAACATTTTCAAAAAGGTAAATTAAAGATACATTTTAATTGTCCCTGCTGGGATTAAGTTTTGTCTCTAAATTGAGCCCCAGAAATCTCTGATAGAATTCGGGCAGCCTAACCTTTATAACAAGATACTTACCAACTGAAATTTTTTATTTTATTTAATGAACTATCAAAGGTTTTCAACCCTGCTCTTTATTTAAGTTTAACTTAGTTTTAATAGATATTTTTGAGATGCATACTTTCCTTGTTAATAAAATATAACAAAATAAATGATCAATGGATGATATTCTCATTACATCCTTGAACAGTTTCTTTTTTCAAAGAGTTTTTCTTTTTGGCAGTATTTCATGGCTTGATGATTTTCAGAAATTACAGAATGAATCTTTTCATTAAAATTTATTTATCAAAATTGTTATTTCAGTCACTCAAATGTATTTGTTTTTGTCATATTCAACTGTATGCATGAAAATTCTTCAAGTTATTTTTTAAAATTAATTATTGTGTCATTTATTAATGTTCTATATCCTATGAAAGAATAGCATTCAGTAATTTTGTCAAGGATTCTAAAAGTCTATATTAAGGGAAGCGATTATGAAATATCTTGTATTAATTTGTAACTCATAGTCATTGCAGTGTTTGAAAGTGCAATTACAAGTGAAAAAACATAGATATTTATTATTAATCGAGTTTGCTAACAGTTCATGTAATTTGGAAACACATAGATATAATCTCAAGAGTATAATTCAAAGTACTCCATTAATTTAAAACTTGAAAAAGGAAATTTTAAATAAAGGGTGGAATTGTAATTGCAAGTTTATTTGTATTTCAAAAAATTCATTTTATTAAAAAATGTGAGTAAAATATGTATTCAAAATACATATTGAAATATGTATTTTTATATTTTTAAATATATGAGCTGACATTGAATTATTCTGTAAATTATTTATACATTATATAAAAAATTGGAAAAGAAACATACATGGTCAACTTCAATTAACACGGTATATTGTATCAAAATGAATTATCATTATATTTTTGTTAAGTTAAACTGTCTTCTGTTATTTAATACAATATTCAATTTGATTTTTATTAATTATTGTATACCTTGAATTAATTATGATTGAAGTTTAAGATGTGTTAAATATAAGCTAAACAATGTAAATTTTCTGAACATTTAAAAAGTAATTTCTTAACCAATTGTTTCACAATGGTTGTTTAATTTATTGCATATTACAGTAGCCTCTGGTTTTATAATGCTGTCATGGGAAGAGTGAAAAAAGTGCAATATATTCAAATGTACAATATAATGAAGGTCATTTTATAATAACAAAAAACCTTAATGTATAATTAGTTAAGTACAACTATTTTAATAAAAATAGCATTAATTATAGTAACTTTTATTGTTATTTTTGCGATCTACAATTTTAAGAAAAATGACAGAAATTACTTTTTTTAGATGGAAAATGTACTGCCATTGCTATCCTTAAATAATGAATTATTGCTCGAATGTCTCAGTAAATTTTTTGCATATTTAATTGTAATAAATTCATAGAATTACAAATTGCATTAAAACTTTTTAAATTGTAATGAATCCTTTTTTTTTAAAGATTGCGATGATTTAATTCATTAAAAAGGAGCAATGTGTCCAACTGAGCGATAAAGATAATAAAAAAGCTTGATTTATTATGGGGCTACTGTATTAATTCTAAATTTTCACTATATTAAATATAACTAAAACATAATTTTTCAAATCCAGTAAGAAATTAAATACGATAATAAATCCAATTTTATCCTGTCTTTGATATTTTATTAAAGGGTTAGGCCACTTTAATATTTCAGAAAATTTTTTTTCTTTTTTTTTAGCTTAAGAGGTGCCTTAATACATTGAAATAATGTTTATAAAGTTTTATGAGCATGTAAAATATCTTAATTCTTGAATTTTTGCACATTTCTTTTCAGTTCACTCTGTGCATTCAGAAAACTTCAAAAGCATATTTTTTGAAGCTACATTTGTCAAGTCAACCAAACTCAAAACTGATTGACTTCAAATTTATATTTTATTTTAAAAATTTCAATTCATATTTACAGTAATAAGTTGGATAATTTCATTTTATTGCAGAGTTCATTTTATAATCATCTGAAATTTAGAAGTTTTTTCTTCTCTCTTTTTTTAATTTTTTTAAATAGATTATTTTTCTAAAAATCAGTACAGCAAAAAATTCTCATGCACTTCAGTTGCTATTCATATGTATGATTAAAATGATTTTTTTTTATCATATTACAGATATTCAACTAAGCCACACATTCAAAAGAACTTTATCAAAAAAAAAAAAATATGCTTGAATGATAAAAATAGTTGCATAATAAAGAACCTTTTTCTACATTTCAATTTATTTTACTGCTTTTTTTCTTCT